ATATATATATATATATATATATATATATATTCCCTGTATTTCTTTGGATAGCAACACAATTTTGAACTTTGCAATGTACATGTTTGGAAGTGCTTCGAGGACTATTATGATTCACATATAAAGACCTTATCATATTCAATAAGATTTGCAAAATATCATAAAGATGTGTTAGATAGATTTGCAAAATAATTTTAAAATCTTTTGATTTTATGCATGCTTTAATGAAAGACTTTGTGCTCCTAATCATCGAGTAAAATTAAAGAACGAGACTGAAAAATCATATGTAGTGATTTTCAATACAATACCGATCTGGACGGAAGATATTGTAAGTACTCCGAAAGAATTAATAGATGAACAACATCCTTTACTTTACAAATCTTTTAAGTATTATTATTACATCAAATTTCGCTTCACAGACAAAGGAGATTTTGAGAATGCTCTAAAAGTTTATTGTGGTGTTTAGTTAAATGCTAATGCAACTAAATAAATTCTATGTTCATAACAAATATTTAATAATGATATCTGATGCTATTGTGATGAGGCGAAAGTTGTTGTAATTATGTGATGTTATTGTGATGAAGCTATTAAGAAGATGCGAATGTTGTTGTAAGTTTAGTTAAATGCTAATCCCCTTAGTTTGGACGGTTGATTTCAAGATCAATGTTCCACGTTCCGTCATTCGGCGGCTTGATCAAACCGCGGATCCAATCCCGTGTTCTATCCTTCAGTCCGGCTTGATCTAACCCGCTAGATTGAAATGGCGGAGGATCAGACGGCTACTACATGCCGCTGACTCACCTAAGTAATAATAGTTCACAGAATAGTTATATTCAAGTTGTGCAGGAAACTAACATTTAAGTGTGCGCAACATTTATTTGAGAGTTTGAACATGCCTTCTGTCCACTTGTATGAGTGCTATGGATCTGGTGGTTTTCCCCTTTTCCTATGTGGTTCAATGCATAGGGGTCAACATCCACTGACCGCATCTATTGCATTTTTCCAATATAACATCCTAACTGAACCTAATAACTTCTCCTCTCTATTAAAATTTACAATAAAAATAAAAAGCGAAACCTAACTCAAAGACATCTAAAATAGCCTACATATCCTCAAATAATTTATAATCAGATCATCCATAAGAATATATATTTGCAATAATTAATCAATACCTAAAATCCAACAAGTATGGCGTTTTGGAACAATGCATAACAGCATCTTAAGAATGGAATCTTCAACCAATATAAAATTCCTCTAACTGAAGCTAGAACGTATCATTAAAAGGCAAAGCTGAGAAACAACCTACAAGATGGGATATTTTGGTGGCGTTGATACAAAAAACCTTGAGCTTCCCATAGTGGACTTAAGTGGATTAGACATTGCAAGGTTCAATGAAAAGGTTTGGGTGAAAGCTCGATCAAAAATTGTAGAAGCTCTAGAAATCTATGGTGGGTTCGAAGTTGTTTACAATGAGGTTAGTTCTGAGCTCCGAAATGACTTGCTTGGATTGATCGTGCCAACTATATTCACCATGTCAGTTGTGAACAAACTTAGTGATGCCCAAAAATTGCCTTATCATGGCATTTATTTCAAGAAACAAGGCTTCCCTTACTTGGCTCTTCAATTGGCTGATCCTAATTCTCTAGTTGCTTTGCAAGAATATGCTAACATAATATGGCCCGAAGGAAACGATTTTTTCTCGTATGTATTCCCAAGCAACAAAAGTTTTATCATAATTGATTATTTTGATTGCCTAAAGAAGATGCGTTTGTTTATACATTTTTTCAAGTTAAAAGCTATGTCATCCTAATTTATTTTTCTTTATTTTTTTTGGGTAGCAACACAGTGTTGAACTATGCAAAGCATATGCAAGAGCTCATAAATATGATCCATCGGATAATCATAGAGAGCTTATGCTTAGAGCTTCACAATGATTCACATATGAATTCCCTAGCATATTCAATAAGGTTCTCAAATTATTATAAGAATGCATTAGATGATGGAATCAATCTTTCTTTGCCGTCTCATAAAGATCCCAACTATATAAGCATAATTTGCCCCCATAATGTGGAAGGACTAGAAATTGAGACCAGAGGCGGTGAATGGATACAAACGAAGCCTATGAAAAATTCATTTACAGTTTTACTTGGCGAAGTATTCAAGGTTAGTATACTTGTTTGAGGGTAATAAATGTACTTTAATGATGAAAAATTATTATTTAATTTTTATTGAATAAGTTTTTGTTTTTCTCAGGCATGGACTAACGGAAGACTTCATGCTCCTAATCATCGAGTAAAATTGAAGAATGAGACCGAAAAACGATATGCAGTGATTTTTAGCACAATACCAAGTCTCACAAATGATATGATAAATGCTCCAGAAGAATTAATTGATGAACAACATCCCTTACTTTTCAAGCCTTTTAAGTATTATGACTATGTGAAGTTTCGCTTTTCAGAGGAAGGAGAAAAAACTAATGATGCCCTAAAAGCTTATTGTGGTGTTTAGTTAAATATTAAGGCAGGCATATGCTTAGTGTGCTACTTGTTATGTTTTTACATGTTTTTTTTTTTTTCATGAACTTTGTAACTTAGATCTTGTGTGCTTTTTCTTCTAATAAAAGTGGTTAAATTCCACCTAAAGATGTTTGGAGCATAA